CCCCCCCCCCCCCGCCCACATTTTCCTTCTGTAATCACTGAAGACTGTTCCTGACCTTATGCATTAACCTTACTTTACCCCGAGTTTATATTTTATGTCAGTTCTGAATTCGATTTTGCCGCAGACGAATGGAAAAAACCGTCTCCTCCTCGGTCTCTGGGTGAATTGTGTCTTCTCTGTGAGTTTTACTGGTGCAGCATCTGCAGGTGGACTCCTCACTGGTCTTTAGTCCCACACAGCTGAGCAGGTTACATTTTACTGCTGATTTGTGGCTTCATAAAGCTACAATATAATCTGATGTCTGTCTGGTATTTCAGTCTCTCTGCAGGCTGAAGTCGTGCACGTTTGAAGGGGAACAAAACCTGCTGGTATTAACAACGACCGCTGAATTCAAACCACCACTCGTAACCAGAAAACATTATCTGCCGGTTTATTTGTTTATTTAGCTTTGGGAACCATTAAGAATCACTGTTCAACACTCAAGCTTTAGAAACATGAAACCTCCGGGGCGTTTTAATGTTTACTTTTAAAAAGAGCTGAGTTCTCTCATGCTCATATCAAGATCACGGTCCAGAGAGAATCCTTCTCGTCAGGCTTTCAGACGAGGAAAAACTCGGAGTCCACGTCATTTTTCAGCAAAGTTTTTATGATGCAAACATCTCAGAGCGGTTAGCATTGAATATTCTCCATGCTGGAGCTGGATTGAACCACGCTGAAAACTATGGATAGACGAATGAGCTCCTCTTGTCCCATTCAACAGATTTATTGCCTTTTTTAAATTTAATTTAATTAAAAATTTTAAGCCACAATAAACACAGAGATCAGATCAGTGAACTCTGGTGGTCTATGGAGGTATAATCCACTTTCTTCTGTCCAAACTGAATAAAAACAGCATTCAGTCCATAACGTTTCCTAAAACATTATTCACAGTTCTATGAAAATAAGCAGCAAACTTAAAAAAAAAAAAGTTTTATCATGCAGAAAAAGCTAGATTTAGATTTCATGTGTGACGAGAGATGACAGGAAGTAAATCTGAGTTTCATACATGCATATCATTTTTAAACACTTCTCCTTAATGCATGTGTCCAACTCAAGGCTCGGGGGCCCAACGTGGCCCTCGTCGACATCATATCTGGCCCCCAAGATGAAGATAAACTTTTATCACTTGAACTTTTTCAGTAAACTTTGAGTATGTGTGGAAAACACGACAGAGAACGTCAAATGAGACCAAACTTTTGTTAAGGAACCTGTGACCAAGAAAACATCTGACGAGTTCCTGAAATTGACCCTTAGTTTGAACCAAGTTTTTAACTGATGCCTCCTTTTGTAAGAAAGTTTGACTCCCGTTAATGCATTTAAACTTTTAATCTAGTGTCAGAGGTTTATTTAGTAAGTTTAGAACATTCGATTAGTGTTCACAATCAGTTTGAATAAAAAGTCTGACCCAAGCTGTGATTAAAATACAAGTTTACACACAAGTGTTTGTCATTAAAAGCAGAGAGTTTAAAAGTTAAAATAGCAAATTATTATGTTGATTTCTGTCAATAATGCACCAGTTAATCTCACACTGTTGTATAATGTGTTTATTTTATCTGATTTTTAGACAAAACTCACAGAAACATCTGCAGAAAACAGCTTATATATATATATGTATATATATATATATATATATATATATATATA